AAATGCCTCGTCCTCCAGCTTCCCGTTCCAGCTGACAAAGACAACGCACTCAACGAATCTGAACCCACAATTTTATCCTCCGCAAACTCGTTCATGTCCATGAGCATCGCCTCGACTCCAAGCATCGCCACGCTGCCCTCCAAGATGGCATTTAGCTCTGCCTCTGCAGAGCTCAGTGCTGTCGTTGACTGACGTGAGCTCCGCCATAGGATGGGGGTTCCCCCGTAGGTTATCACCCACCCTGTCTGACTTCTCGCTGCACCAGGTGCAAACGCCGCATCGGGGTAGAGGTGCATGTGGTTCCCTGTCCAAGCTATACGCAACTGGTAGCTCTTGGTGTAGTTGATATACTTAAGCATCTTGTGGGCCATGGCGACTACTCTCGCTGGCGTTCGGGTTGACATAGATGACAGAACACAGCACCCGAAACTCAGATCAGGACGCGACCGCTGTGACAGCCATAGAAGCTCCCCTGTCAATTGCTGAGCCTGGTGAACCAGCTGTTCTGTAGGAGGAAGATCACCAGGTAACACTTCATAGACTGCATCGTCCTTGGCAATGGGTATCCTGCNNCTGCTATTGTCTCCTGGTTGTAAATCGTAGGCGCGGATGAGCTCCTCGATATAGCCCTGTTGGCTGAGGTACATCTCCTCGCCCCGTAGCGTTAACTCCATTCCAAGGAACTTCACTGCGTTCTCTTCAGAAAGAATGCTCAAATCTGAAGTGTCCCACTCTTGCTGGATCATGTCGGTTAGCATCTGAATAAGCCTTGGAGGTCCTAAGATCAGGTAGTCATCGACGTATATAAGGATCACTGCCGACAGCCTTCCTCTTGCATCCCGCACTGACCACCAACTTGAAATAGTACGTCCACGCATCATCGCAAATCCAGTTGGTGGCTTCATAGCATCCATCCTTCTATCTCGGTGCCGCGACCAAAGGACTGGAGACTGCCTCAGACCGTAGAGGGCTCGCACCAGGCCCCAGAGTTCACTAGCCTGGGTCAAGTTCAGCTCCTGTAGCAGCTTCGGTGGTGTAGCTATAATAACTGGATCCCCCTCGTCATTCCCAATGGGAGTCTTTAAGAAGGCGGCGACTATGTCGATGATTCCCACTGACCATCCCTCTCGCTTTGCTATGACCAGACCAGTACGTACTGCTTCAGAAGGAGCGGCCTCGGTGTATAGCGACATAGCTTCCGAAGCTGCGAAGTTCCCGCAGACGACGAGGCGAACCTTCCTTTTCACCCATGTGGCCCTGCTGGTCAGCTCTGCCTTGGAATTTGGCTTGATCGTAAACACCATCTTTGTTGGAAGCCGTTGTGCACGCGGGTTTTGTAACCATTCTCTCCTTTCAGGTGTCCCCACTTGCAGTCTTGATATTGCGACCTCGACGGTGTTCATCTCCTTGGCGATAGCATCCTTCCATAGAGGTAGATGAGCCATTGCATCTTTTGGATCCACAGTGTGGGTGACTTCGAGTGGACCCTTTAGACTATTGATCACATCCTCGATGTCAGGGGTATAGTTCACTTCCACCTTCGCCGCTCTGGGTCGTAGTAGAGCCGTTGCTTCGGGAGCAACCTTGACCATTCCGTCCTCAACGTCCAAGAACATATCCCACTCCTGATCATTGTCGGCTATGGGCGTCAGGTCCTCCTGGTGGGCCTCCTCCTCAACCACATTGATCGGGCACACCCTCGGAGCCCTCTGCTCTTCCAAGATGAAATACTCTGGTAATTGAGAAAGTGGAGGTACATAGCCATGATCTTCAAGCTGCTGAATCATCTCTTGAGTTATCTTGCCCATGGCCTGCGGTGTATAAGCCACCATCATCGTGCGTGTTCCTTCCCAGGGTAGAACTTCATGTCGCTTGCGGGGGCTAAACGTTGTGCACCTTCCCATTTCAAACGTTAGCACATGCCCATAGCGCCTTGTCCCCTTATCATCGCTTCTTTCCTCAACTTGTCCACAAACACGATCACCTGAGGATAGCTCAACCCACAAGCCTCCTCCTGAGCGTGGTAGCCGTACCGGTACTAGATAGTTGTTGGCCTTCTCATCGTTGTTGCTATCGCGATGTTGTCCTCGCTGAGAATTTCTCATGACGCAAATAGCAGTGAAGGTAGCCTCCGGCTCCAGCTCCAACACCACCTTAGCCATTACCCTTGCCACGTCCGGGAACTCCTTGAACGCTGTTGTCCAACCAACTGCTCCACCATGCCTCCATATACCGAAGGTCCTATCCTCGAAGAACTTCGCCTCCGCCAGCTCATCCACCAACCGCAACGCCTCATAATAGTCCCACTTGTCCAACAGCACCTTCGATCGCTGGGCCGCATACTCCTCCAAGTCCGCCCTGGTGAGGTCCAACGCCCGCAATTCGACCTCTGCTGCTGGGGTTTTCTTCGGGATCTTCCGCCTGGGCTTAGGTTCTTCACCAAGCTGTAGCTGTTGCTCTGGTGGACCTGGATCCTGTAACTTGGTCCGCACATGGAACGTGTGGATGAACTTCTCCTTGCTATCTTCTGTGCCTGGGACATAAATCACGTGGCCGTCGTCAAGCAGGTTGCTAAGTCCCATGTAGTGACCTCTTAGCCATTTGGACTCAAACGCCCGCTCTCGCCGACGCGGCCCCGACGAATCGAACGCCTTCTGCTTGATGTGCACGGGGGCGCCATAAGGCGCCATCAGCTTGCTTTTCCATCCCAACACACTTGCCCTCTGCATCGCTGTTGCTGCTTCCACGGCAGTGGGCCAAAGCTTCGTCGGCATTCTAGCCCCAATCAACAAGGTCCTTGCACGGTCCTTTATCCATCGTACTGCGGCTTCTGCTCGTCCATTTCCTTGCGGTACTCCTGCTTCCGACCATGTGGCCCGTATTCCCTGCTCCCGAAACCAGGACCTAATGCTATGGCTGAACGTCTCTCCATGGTCCGCGTGGTGCCTATAGACGGGCAAGTTGTGGGTCTCAAGGTACAGAACTATGTCTTGCAATGCCGCCTTAACTGAGGCTGTGGTATTGTTTTTCAACGGCCTTGCGAACAATAGAACTGTAGCTTCAGGCGCTTCACAATCTTGAATTGTTGACTGCTGCAACTCGGCATTCTGGTGATCGCCCTCGCTGGCCTCCTCATAGTCCGCGACTGACGGCTCATACATACTGTCTTCGTAGTCCTCAAACTCCTCCCGCTGCGCGATTGTACTTCCGATGAACTCTCTGCGCCCATCTTCAGGTGGATGTATTACATCGCTCTTGTGATCCTGCTCACCCAACTCATCTTTGTCCAAACTGAATAGGTCACCTTCATCACATGATGATAGTAGAGAAAGTCCAAGAAGGTCTTCGCCATCCGTAGCCTTGGCTCCTTGTAGCTCCTCTTCACATGGATCCCCTTTGTCACGTCGTGGTAGTAGAGAAGGTCCAACAAGGGGTTCGCCGTCGGTAGCCTTGGTTCCTTGTAGCTCCTCCTCACCTGGATCCCCTTTGTCACGTCGTGGTAGTAGAGAAGGTCCATCAAGGGGTTCGCCATCTGTAGCCTTGGTTCCTTGTAGCTCCTCCTCACCTGGATCCCCTTCGTCACGTCGTGGTA